AGAAATACATCGTTCGATTTCCACTGGAAAATTTATTCTATGTAGATTCGCGACGAACGATTCAAGCTTTAACTTCTTCCTGCTAAATATTTATACAAACGAATCAATGTGACGTCCAGTTGCGCGGACATGAATGAATTATCAATAAATAATTACGTGCTTTTGTTATAAATTTTAATAAATATACTGTGATGTATTTTGATATAGATAGCATTCGGAAGATTTTTAACGATATTTATTTTTCAAATTCTTATAATATATGGATATTTTTATAAACCAGAAGGCCATGGAATGGAAAACAACGTAAGAAGGAAAGCGGATCATAATTTTTCCTACGCAAATTTCTTCACAAAATCGAAACCAAAAATAATTATTTTAAATATTTTTCGATGCATTCGAACAATATTCCGATAAATTTAAAAAATAATGGAGGCAAAAATCGTCGATCCATTCGATCCCTCCCTGAACAAACAGGGATTCCTTCACGATCCAGGGATCTAACTTGATCTAAAATTTATATATATATAAGAGACATGAGTTTCCAACGATCGTGGATGAAGAATGTCGGATAACGAATATTATTTCCATTATCGATGGAAAACTAATTTTCAAGCGCAAACGTTCGACGTTACGTAAAGGGAAGGGGATCGTGTTACCAATCTGTGTCAAAGCGACAAGAGAGAAGCAAGTCGACAAACGTTGAAGGAGCGTAGGTCAAACAAAACTACTTTATAAAATCGGTGAAACACGGATCGAACGCGAGTCTGCGGAGAAAAAAAGTGAGCAAGGCCGACGAGTCAATCAAATCGTGCGCTTCGATTCGAAGAAGGAAGAGATGTTTCGATCCGTGACAAATGGGGAAAAAAAAAATAATAAAGAAAAGAAAAAAAACCATCGGAAGGACCATATCGATGATAATATATTGCTTTTGCTCTTCGTGTATATATATATATATATATATATAAAGAATATATATAAAGAAGAAGAATAAATAAAAAGAAAATGAAAGAATTAAAAACGAATTGTGGTTAACGCGTTGTGAATACGACGTTTAAATATTGCATAAGAAAATGAGCGATTACTAGACACTGTTCGCGGCACTAATGCAACCTTCGAAATTTCCATATTTATGGAACAAGTTTTTTTTTTTTTTTCTTTTCGGTAATAGAAGTTTTGAAAACAAACAGTTTCTTGTTTGTACTTGACGATCGTGAAATAATTTGTGAATTGTAATTTTACAATTACAATTTCGGATGTTCTTTTTTTAATCAATCTCGAATGATTTATATTAAATATTATAATGCGAAATAATTCAAGTATAGGGATAGATTCATCCGTTGGGATTTTATTATAAGAATTATGCAGATTTCTTTGAAAGATAAATAGTTTCGCATAAAATCTATCTAATCAAGGATACATCTATTAAATTGTATATTTCATTTTCGCATTTCATTATTTTCTTATTACCTTCGGATTATTTTTAGTAACATATCAAATAATTTATTCACTTCGTCTTTTAATAGAATTTTATCTTCCAAGATAAAGAAGAAAATTTTTTGAAACATATTAAGAAGGATTTAATTTTAAAACTTGTGTCACAAGGTAAAAAAAATCTCTCAATTAGAATTATTTCCCTTTAGTCAAAAAAATTTTCACGGAATTATTTACTCCTCGTGTATATATATATATATATATATATATATATTTATTTTCGATTCGATATTCAGAGATTTCAAAGGCAATCGTATATCGTGAATTAAAAGGCAAGTTATAATTATTTCTATTGTTAACAGAATTTGTGAATTTTCTTATAATTGTTACAATTTTGTCGATTAATGTTTATTTATTTATGGCATTAATAATATTTTTGTGATATTTTTCAAAAAAAAAAGAAAAAAATTAATGGACACGTTACAGAAACGAAAATAAAAATTCTAATTCGACATATTTATATAATACTGATATAATACTATCTTTTGAACTTTTGTTAATGGAATTCATCATTGAACTTGAACTCATTTTCAAATATAATTCAAATAGATAATGGGGAGATTCAGAAATTCTAATTATATAAAATATTTACATGTAAAGAAAGATATAAATATATTTTATGCAATTAATTATTTTATACTTTCCTTCGTTTGAATGGCTTCGTTTTCCAAATACGTTATCATATGCATTTATTCGAAAATAACAATGATTTGCGTTATATCAGATGAATTGCACATATTTCAATAATAATTTCACATTTTATTCTCTATATCGATATCACAATTTTTTTCTCGCCACGTGAAAAATTCTGCTAACCGAAAAATTGCAAAATTAAATCCTTGGATCGAAGAGAAGATGAATCGTTATGTGATTGCGATAATTGGATACGATATTAATCAATCCATTTTTATTTTCGTTTCAACCACTGTAACAGGCTCCATTTCCTTCTCCAAATTGTACACTTGATCCTCCGTTCGACTCGTTGGACTGGTTCATGAAAAAAAAAAAAAAACGACTCTACCCTTTGCTCTTTCCATTCAACTTATCGAAAACCACTTAAGAAATCTGCAAACGAAATCTTTGTTGCACGAATACGGAAACGACGTCGTTAACACCACGGGTGGATATTTGTAAAAGCGATCGTGGCTAATTAACTTATGCAAACTGCGCATAGCTCGCCGAAAACGAGATTTCGCACGATAAAAGAAAAAAAAAAAAAAAAATTGCACGTGCGTAATTAACTCGCAGGATACACTACGTTATCGATAAATGTAAACTTATCTAATTTTCATTGCCTAATCAGCTTGATCGCGCTTCGTAGCGCGCACAATATTAATACAAAGTATTAATAGCGGCAATCTGAGAAAAAAACATTCCATTTTTTACTTCTCGTTGCATACAATTTAACCAATACGTACAAAATAAATAAATTTCCATCGGTTAACGATTTATATACTTGAACATTAATATTCAATGCTTGTATATGGTTATGGAATCGTATATGGTTAAAATTCTTTGCAATTTGCAAGGAAAAAAAAGAAGAAGAAGAAGAAGAAGAAGAAGAAGAGGAAAAAGAAAAATAACGATAATGTTATTATACGACATATTTTAAAACGTTCCATGCAATTCTTCTAAAGTACACCTATATCTACGAACATGTTCGTATGGAAGCAAATGTTTTTTTCTATAATTGACGTCGTCGTTGTTCAACGTACAATTTCAATGTAACACTCGTATAAACATATTCGTACATTGTGTATCGTTCGTTGTAGATTTCGATTTTTGCTCGTCACGTGTAATGATATGTGTATACGCGATATTTCATACGATCTGTAATTACGATAATCGTAAATACGTTACAATTTGTAAAAAAAAAAAAAATATATATATATATGCGGATCGTTAAATTGCTAGAAAAAAAAATGTATCGTATACGATATTCATCGATATACGATCGAGTCGAACAAGGATTGTGAGATTTTACGCTATGATTTTTTTTTTTTCATTAAAATTTCAAAGAAAATTCAACGAATTTCAATTTAATCATCGAAAAAAAGTGATTAGAAAATAAAGTTGATTTACTCTTGCGTTCTAATTTTAGAAACATAACAACATGCAACTATGGTAGATGATGATATACTTATATTAATATTTTATTTTTAAAAAATACGTATCGAAAGTTCTTTGATAATATTTGAACTATTTTAAAATTAAAACTTTGCATCGTAAATAAAAGCGCACGACCGACGCACAAGGAAGGTCATCATATGAAACTAATCTGCGTCTAATGTAAAGTAGAAAAAGAGATAGGAAAAACGTTAACGCAATTATTGATCTAAGATTTTAAAATATTAAAGTTGTGGAGAATTTTTGGGTCTTTTAAAACATTAAAAAACATGAATATTAAAAAATTTTAAATTCTCTATAAATTTGAAATTAAAATTTCGAAAATTTGAAAATTAAAATCTTGAAAGTTTCTAAAATAAAAAAAAAAATATATATATATATAAACCTAAANAAAAAAAAAAAAAAAAAAAAGAAAACCAAAAGTCTTTTTAATATATTCAAGAATAATCTTAACGTAGAAAATCTTTTAAACATTTTTAGTATTTCGAGGCTAATTTTTAATGGACTAGTCTGTACAGTGTTAATCCATTACAGTAAAACTCTCCGAGGACCGTTAATACACGTTGATAATAAACATAATGTCAACTGCTATCTATGCTCGACTTGTCGGTAGAATATAGATTGCAAGGTTGAAGCAATATCGTGACCTTTGCAATCTCGGTATGCCCCAAGCTACTACGTGTTCGTAACTTGCACCGATCTCTCTTGCATTAATTTTGAAACTGATGTTGGCCTAAATACGATTACAAAAAAAGAAAAAAAAAAAAAAAATAGGAAAGCGAATGTCGATTTTTTTTCATAAAAGAAATACGTATATACGATAAACGAGCAATTGAAATCAACGAGTTGAGTTTCTAATTAACGCGTCTTTAAAACGAATATGCACGAATGAATCGCGTGTAAAAGTTACTGATCGCGCAGCAAAACAATTTGACTTTCAATTACATGTTAGATAAGTCGATATGAAAATCACAAACAAATCGATATTTTTTCATAATAGCCAATCGATTCGAAACCTTGAACTTCGATTTCATGTTTATTCTAGAACTTTATACAATTTCAAAAAGATCGAATTTCTATTTGATAAAAAATGTTTCTTTATTTACTTTGTTATTTGAATATTCAATAAGCAAGCAATATGTATTCATATGCAACTTACAATTGCGTAGTAAATGTAAATTCCGTCTTGTTTTTTTCTATCACGGTTAAATAAAACTACACTAGATCAATTACGTAACGAAAATATTTCACCCTAGCTGATGCGAGGGTTAACCTCAAAACGATTAATATTGAACCTTAACATTACACGGATTACACGCATATCCGTTCACCTTGGCGCATCCATTCCGACCTTATATGATTAACAGAACAACGAATCTGACCTTGGAATCGACAAATCCATGGTGGCGGATGAATGATGATGTTGCATCATATCTGTCGTGCCGATGATCCCCGGATGAAGCGTTTGTTGTTGTTGAGAATGCAAGTATACTTGCTCCTGTGATTTACTCCACATAGTTAACACTTTTCGAACGATACCGCGTACCAATCAATTTTGTTGAACGATGCGCGAATCGATTCAAGTACACGAATCTCTAAATTTTTTGTATATATGATCAAAGTGCAAACTGTAATTCGGTAGATTATCCTTGCGTATCATTGTACAAGAAACGAGTATCGATTGTTTAATTTGAAGATTATCTTTTAACACTTTGGTTTTTTCACTCCATAGACTATACACTTGTTAACTATGTTAATTGCACACCTGTTAACGAAAAAACTGTTGATACTTCGAACGAACGCGTTATTCAAGAAGAAACTTTTAGAACACTAAACTCTTCTTCGGCGTCGTTCGCCATATTGGAGAACGCGCAAACAGCGACGTTCAACGTTACAACTGTGATGTACCACTGTTATCGCGCGACAACTTCGCGGCTTGTTTGTTGCGCGAATTAAAATTAGCCAGGTCGCCGGTTAATCTTACTCGCACGATCGCTCGTGCTTGTTTCTTCGCGTACAGATAAAAACCTATCTATCTGTGTTGGATGACGAATAAACATTCGACAATATATCGAAATTTTGATGAAACGATGAAGAGGCACTGTTACACAGAAAAAAATACGAAAAAAAAAAAAAGAGAAACTGTTTTATCGATGGTTACGCTTTTTTCTGTTGAACCTACGATTAGTTTGTTATCCCGCCAAATCTCTGTTATTCTTTCTTTCGTGTATGAACGTATATACACTCAACGTAATGGCGATGCAATGTCAAAACTTACATTGACGAAAAAAAAAAATTGCAAAAACATACTGTTTTTTCAAGATAAGTCACGGGAAAATCACATTTTTTCGTCTGGAACGCACTAGCTTCAAACTGTCGTGACGTAACGACCGTGGTAATGATTTTTCCCGCTTGATTTAACACGCTTACGCGTTTGACAATTCCACAATACACCGATCTTCGTGAACCGAGATGTCACGTATCGAAATGGTTGCCTCTCGATTTCTGCTTAATATTTGACATTCACGCGAATTCTTCGTCGGATTCGCTTGACCTTGACACCGTGTTCTAGATCCCGGCTCAGCAGGAAATCCGTACACGAAGACACATACGGATCACAAGAGAGCATCCATCGACGAGCAGAGCAGTTACCATCAGATCAAAACGCGTTTCAGATGCATACGCTGATCTTTCTCCCCGCTCCGACGTTACATCGTGTGAAACGTAATAAAAACGAGACCCAAAGCACTATGTTACTTCGTGGAATCTCTAGCCTTGACACACTGTCCCAAATGTCTCTTAGAACGGAGAAAATATACGTAGACTATGCATTCCACGGATATAAGCCACAAATTTTATGCCATATTTCGAGTAATGACAATATGGATAGTGCACACACGAACTTTCACGATTGAACGTCGATTTCAAACAGTTACGATTTATCGCTTATCTATACAACAAACAGTGCGATTCAATTTTACAGTTTACTTTACGATAATATAGCGAATACTTATTAAAAGCATGTCAAAGCGTCAACACTTGTGTATATACGCCTCGTATATTTTCAAGAATACATATATTCATCGAAATGAATATTTGCCAAAATTAGCTTAAAGAGCGTCAAGACGCAACACGTACGATAGTCAGATGCGAACTGCCGGTGGAGCGTTACCCCCACTCTGCGTAACAATCAACGTTACCCCCCTCCACGTAGACGACCAATCGTCGTTCCCCTCGTCTTCTTCCAATGCTATCCGCGCTCAGAACGCGCAGCATGATAACAACACATTTTTAGGCGGATCCCTTGTGTAAGGCTGCTTCCACTCGCGCGATAAGAAACAAATTTTCGTCATGTGTCTTGTGCTGAATTTAAGCGCGAGAATTCGAGTATTATATACGCTCTCGCGCTAACAGAATATCCTATTAACAATATCCTTGTTCTTCATTGAAATAAATTGAACTTTCACGAATAACACAAAGAATAATAATAAAATATTATTATTTCGTTTATAAATAAACAAAAATTCTGTCGTATTTGTGGAATATTTTAATTTACAATACATTAGTACGCTCGTTTATACCGAGCATCGAACAAATTCGCACCAATCGGAATACATTTTTTTGCACGAAATAAATATACGATGGACTTGACGTGTTTATTAGTTCGAGCCTCCTCCACCTTAAGCGTGAGTTAGAATAGAAAAACTGGACTCTTACCCGTACGAGATTGTTGTTTCCGGCACAGAAGTGGAAGACAACGCGCCAGCATCATCCTCGTCCACGTCATCCTTCATTTTTTTTATTTTTTTCCTGAAATTAAATAAAACCGGATGTTATTAGTTTTGTATTATTGAAATTTATCTTTCCAAGAAATCGTTCAACATCAATGCTCGTTAATTAAACATGGGGAAAATGGATGAATGAGAAAGGAAAATTGCGCACGATGCGAAAAATTGTAAACGTTTAATTGAAACGTAAATAAATGACATCAACGCCGATACTATGATATACGATGAAAAATAAGACACGTCGGAATTGTTGCATTATATGTCGACATTATAATCAAAAGAAGATCTCATCGCAAATTATTTGCAACATTGATGATCAGACAGTTGATCGTATCTGTGACATGAAAAATATCATGAAAAATATCATGAAAATGCAGTAATACATTATAGATAATGAAGAACACGCAACCTGAAGAACGTTTTGTTTCAAACTATATAATCTTGAAACTATGACATTATTCGAAGAAAATCTATTGCATTTTTCTTTCTCTTTCACTAGCATTGAATTTATTCATTCCATACATTTGATGCCTGAAGATTGCCGCAAAGGGAAATACTATGTAGAAAATTCGACCGATGAAATGATTTTTATGGATATGCTTTTATATCGATCCAATGAATATTTTATGCAAAGCTATACTTTTTTCTTAAAATATCATACCACACCAATAGACACACTATCAATGTGAATAATCTAACGTACGAGATATATATATATATACACGTTTCCTTTTCACTTGAAAAATTTTATTCTATTCTTCTTAAAAATCAATTTCAATTTTTAAAAATTTGTTAATGTAAGTATAATTATTTTTTCTTTATATTTTCACTTTTATATCATTTCTATCGTATTTAAATATACGATTTCCATCGTATCATTTCCATCGTATTTAAATACGTTTGCTTTTAATAATAAAAAATAAAGAATAGATTATACGAATTTCTATGTACATTAAATAATTTCAGAATATCCCAATTTATATAATCTTTTACGAGAATTCGAATCAATCTAATCTAATCTAATTTCTACATATATATATCATATATCAAGAAAATTTAAAAAAATTTTAATTCAAAAATTCTGAATTGTAATTCTATAAATTAATGCAATTTTCGCATTTCTTAATATATATAAAACATATCGACAATTCAATTTCATTTCATTTAAAGCTTTATAAAAATATACGAATATTCGATAACCATTAATATTTATAAATAACATTAAACACGGACAAATGATTCGATACTTAATATCACGAACGAAACAAAAATTAATAAAACTAATAATTAATAACACTTTTAACATAACATCTTTTTTTTTTCCGTTTCAATTTTAAATCGTAAAACGAGTATCAAAACTGTGTTCATCATTTTCGAAATAGACAAATATCCATGATTCCAACGATTATTAAAATCGTCGCCGATTGGAATGAAAAATCGTTGTTCGAAACGATACAATCGGAAACGTATTGCACCTCCACTTCCACTATACCCAATATACTTTCTCTTCATCGAAATAACTTTAATCCCTGTGAGCGGCGGGGAAACGTCTTCGTGGGTGCTATTAATAATAGCAGATTCGATATAGAAACGCGTATCGTTGTGCGTACCGTAATTTGCCGGAGGGAACGATGACGTTGAATCGAAACGGACAAATGTTCGATGCAGCGGGTAATCGGAGTAATTCGAGCCACGAATAAACCGGGTGGCGTGGGCCGATTGCGTATTCTCTCGGATAACAGCGGTGATTCGAAACAATCAGCTGATGTTGCTCGGGATCAACACCACCTTTTTGTGCACGTTGCGGATTTTACCTCTGCCTCTGCGTTCGTAAAATTCTTCTTCTTCTTTTTCTTCTTTTCCGTTGAATTTCAAGTTTGCGTTTTTCAATTCGTTCGTCAACTTCGGACGAAACAAAGGATAAAGAAGAAAGAAAAAAAGAAGAAGGAACGTTGGGAAATATTTGGTTAAATTTGCTGAAAACGTTTGTTTCGGAAGTGTTTTTCGTGCAATCAGAGTGAGACCGTTCTCTTTATCATTCTTATCGATAAAGTGTGTTCTTTAATATTGAATATTGAGTTTTCGTTACAAATTACCAAATCGGGATCGATTCGACGTTGTTGTGTGTACAGTGGTTTTCTTTATATTTGATCGTCCAACTGCATTTTCTAGTCTTCTTGTAGCCTCGTACGGCAAATCGAATGTGTATGTCGTGAAACATAGGTCTCTTTGTCGTATAAAATTATTCAACGGTTTAGCACGAGACACAACAACGTATTGCGTTAGATATATTGATAGATATACAATGAACTGATTAATCTTTTAGAAAAAAAGTCGGTTAACAGACTTCTATATAAATTATACTCATATATTTAAGGATTTGCTCGTTGCGTAACATATTTTTACGTTATCTGTAATTATATCGAAGAAAAATTATATCTAATCGAATCGAATTGAAATTATATTCAACTTTATTAGATTAGACGATGGTTATTTTTCTTACGAAGCTAATTCAATTTTCTGAATACAAAATTTTCGACTCTACAAACAAAAAATTTCGAATTTATTAACTCGAATTCAAAAATGCTCTTCTTCGAATTCAAAAAATTTGCAGAGCATGGATAAAAAAAAAAGAAAAAAAAAAAAAAAAAAAGCAAAGATAAAGACAAAAACGCACGACGTACTTGAAACGATGAAGTTGCGTCAATTCGCAAGCACATACCCGATAAAAAAATTCGATTCGAATAAAGATATCGATTCAGATTTCGAATCTTATTAAAAAAGGGAATGGCGGGAAAACGGTTTCTCACACGTATTCTTTCACACGTATACGTATAGCTCGACACAGAGAGAAGCGATACACACACCCTCGTGGAATGTCTGTATCTGAGAAACTGGCGTCAGGTAGGTCTGTGTTGATACATCGGGTCGTCGACATCGTTCTACTATCGCTAGGTTTCGCTGTGTGCGCGATATACCGCATAACTGATAAGGTGGCGAGAGGTAACCTATACGCGCGATGCACTCGTTTTAAAATCGTTTCTGATCCGCTCGCGGATGAAAGGAAGGACGAGAAGGTGAGAATCTCTCGATCGGCGAAACGGCACACATTTTTCGATATCGTTGCTGTTTAATCGTATAGAACGAAATACGGAAAACTAAGATGACGAGAGATACGATTTATATATTTGCATGCAATCTAATAAGTAAATTCAATTGTATTATATTATATTTCAATTATATTATATTTTATTTATATTTTAATTAATATTATATTTCGTATTGTAAGATGACGAGAGATACGACTTATATATTTGCATGCAATCTAATAAGTAAATTCAATTATATTATATTATATTTCAATTATATTATATTTTATTTATATTCTAATTAATATTATATTTCGTATTTGAAAATAAGCAAAGATGAATTTGCTGCGAGTTTCAATATTGCTGGTTCCAATAAATATTTGAAAAATATTTCATTTTATTTTCCACGCGTGTACAAATTTCAAATTGATAAATTTCAAAAAACTTACGTTTCTTCTATTCGCCAAAATAAAAAAAAAAAACCTTTCTCTTCAAAAATTCAAACTGGCTAACCTCAAATTTATGAAATTTTCAAATCTATCGTTATACGTATATACATATATACATATACATATATACGTATATACATATATATATATATACATATATACGTATATACATATATACGTATAATATTATTGGTGAAAATTGGCAAGATTCGTCGTTGCTCTCCCCCCTCCCGTAACACGTTTGCAGAGACGGAGGATGGAACACGACAACGATTTTAACGGAGAACGGACGCGTATTACGTAGTTTCTCGTGTGTTTTTTAATAGGGAGTCGAGGCGAAGGTAGCGGTATCGAGCGGGCGAAAGAAACAAAGAAAATACGAAACACGGTGTGCATGTTGTCGTCGCCGGTAATATCCACCCGTCTAGACACTAGACTCTTTGTTCGTTCAGGGGGCTGATTTTCGGGGGGGTTGTTCCTGGTCGAGCGTAGGGTAAACCGTGGAGGAATGCACGAGTCTAGCGGGAAAAGAGGAGAGGGAAAGGCGCGGAGAGGAGGACAGAGGTCGAAAAGGGAACGCGTTAAGGAGGGAGGGAGGGAGGGAAGGATGGTTACACGAGGATAACCCCGAGGTGTGCGTGTGCATGTGTTCGGTCTGGCCGACGATCGACACGCTCCTGATCAACCACGACGAAACTCTGTGGGCCGTGTCGGTGCACGCGCGACCGCCCGTCGTTTCCTCCGCTCTTCTTCTCTCGAGTAGCGCAACCGTTAACGACGATCACCTA